TATAGCAACAGCATGTGAGTAGCTGGGCTTCAGACTGGAATTACAGATGGTTTGAACGGGTCAAACTAGGAAAATGTTAACTGCAATTAAAAATTGTAGTGATGAAAAGTGTATTTATAATGGATGAACTTTGTCACCACTAATTAAAACTGTTTTGGCCCAAAGTTGGTTTAAACAGCTGAAAAGTGCTGATGAGGAGACAAAATCAAGTGCTTTAGCCTTGTTCACAGGGCCTGGTTAGTCTTTATGATGTGAAGTTATTGCATATTGAAAAAGAAAGCATGCTTATTTCCATGCCCCCAGACTTCTGATGAGCAGTTTTACTGACATTAACTGACCATGACTCATCACACACCTGCATGTGCACATGAAACCGACTTGAACTGGAAACCCACAATGAGTCCCTTAATGGAACATGTACATGAACCCTGTCACCCACTCTCTGAAAGAAATGTGCTGCGGATTGATGCAAACCACGCGTATTCATATGCCTCTGCCCTGGGTGTTTTAGTGTTTACATGCCCGCTTCACCTCAGGGCTTATTCATTAGCTGATTAGTTGGATCAGGTGGGCTAGAGCAGGAAATATGCAGAAAAGTCGTCTTCTAGGATTATTTTTATTAAGTGCCATCATGTCGAATCCATCTCCTAGAAGCCGTATGGATAGTGTTTCTTCAGAATATCCTATCTTGTGGCTACTTAATGGTTTGTTTGTTATGTCTCTGATTATCTTGTTGCTGGCCATCCTCTTCCTCTTTTACCCTCAACTGTTCTAAACATAATCGTCTTTTCCAGTGAATCATTTTTTCTCATAATATGTCCAAAATACGAGGGCTTCGGTTTGGTTTTCAAGGCTTCGAGTGAGTGGTGAGGCTTGAGGCTTGATATGAAACTCCAGGATAGACTTACATTCAGGTTTCTCGTTCATTTTCAGTTTTTCTCTGCATTTTCAATAGGATTCAGTGTTGAGTTAATATGTGACAGTAATTTAATTACTTTTTCCTGTAATTAGTGTAACAAATGACATTTATTGACATATTAATAGTTACTTGCATTACCCACGTCTCTAAGAGAACAATAATAACTACATGTGATGCATTTAAACCATAAATTTCACCTATAAAGTCTATTCGTGTCTGTCCTTGTGTGTATTTCGCTCACATGTATGCTACCTTCATTAGCTCGAGTGCACAACTTCAGTTTTGAATCTGTCAAGGTATCTAATAATGCTGATAAGGAACTGGTAAAAATGGTCCCCAGCCTCATCTAAACGGACCAGACTTTCCTTTCAGGAACAGCTCTGTAAGCTTTGCATTTCTGTCATGTAGATTTTATTTTGAGCAAGCTGTTTTTTGTACTGCTGCTAAGTTTTTTTCCTGGTATTTTCCAATAGGTAGAAATTTGGAGAGTTTTGGAGAGTAAATGAGAGATCTAATAGATCCTTTCAATTATGGCTTAAGCCATTTGTAATGGATTATCTTTTCGGTTAACTACTTCAACATTGGTGGATAGTGTTTTAATTTTAATCAGGCATACAGGAGTCACAATGAAAGATTTTCCAGACTAAAAACTTTTGGGGTTGTTTTGTAATGTGTAAAAACATTTGAAGAATGAAGAAATTCATTAAAGAAGTTCTGGCCCAGAATTTTCTTAGCCTACAGTTCAGATTTAAAACTCGCTGTGGGTCAAACTCAGGACAAATTTTCTTTTGCTCAATTCAGGTCTGGACCAAAATTTCAGGCCTGATTAAAGCTCTATTTCAGGACCAGAGTTGGGAACCGTTGCTCTACGGCAGTATCCAGTGCAGCTGTGAGTGTCTCTGATATCATTAAAGCTCTCCCGGCATTTCCTCCAACATGTTCTCTCCGGCTGTATGCTGTGAAGCGTCAGTACAGTCCCAGAAGCCCCCCATTACTATCTGCAAATGGCCTCAGGGGAGTTTCACCCTGCCTGGGGACGATCTGAGCGAAACAGAGGCCATCTCTTCCACCTCTTCTGGAGCAGCTGGTCACTGCTGTCTGAAACCACCCAAAAAGGAAGGCATACCAATTATAGTGGTCCTCCGGCTGTAGGGTGGAAGCCTCCATCCAGCTTTGGCTCTCGCCTGACAGCTCAAGGCATCCAGCACACAGTAAACGGAAGCAGGACGTTAGCCACTGTAGCACTCTTTGTTATTGGGTGCCCACTTCATCTTGGTGCCCCACCAGCTGTGACCATGGCAGTGGAGAATGGGGAGCCATCACCATGGTGACAGCGGATGACTGCAAAGTGTACGAGTCTGCATTTTGAGTTTTTTTATACGGTCTGTCAACTGGAGTTTGGAGGCGCGGCCACTGCTGGCTGCTAACTTCACTTAATGACAGCACGATGTGTTGATGAGGGGATAACGTGAGCATGCATTTTTCATGAGCACTGCTCTTCAGTTCCTGACCCCTACTGGTCCTCCTCTGGATTAAACATGAAGAAGTGCTTTCATTCTGCTGGGTTTGGGGTCTTTGTGCTTGCACCAAGCTGTGATAACAGCAAACACAGGCAAAGCGCTAATGAGGGGGATGGGGATGAACCAAACTCAAGAGATGCTACCGAAGTTCAAGTCCATTCAGTTCAGTTCAAATGAATTATATTTATAAAGCACTTTTTACAACAAACGTGGTCAGAGAAGAGATTTCCAGACCCTGGAAAGAGTTTGGGTCCAGACCCTTAATGAGCAAGCCAAGGGCGACAGTGGTAGGAAAATGTCCCTAAAAGCATGTGGAAGAAACACTGAGAGGAACCAAGACTCATATGGGAACACGCTCTCCTTTGGGCCACATCAGATACCATAAATATTATTAAAAAAAGACAATCATGATGAAGCAAATTCAATAAATGACTCCAGTTAGGTACAAGAGAGATCCCTGAGATAAACCAATTACTATTGGCAGAAGTCAAGTCACATGTCAGATGATTGACTGGTAGATCTGGTGGAAGATCAAGCACACTCAATGTCCATTTACCTACTACTAGAAACACATACTATGTAGCTCCACCCTGATGGTGCACACAAAGACAATAAGTTGATGCATAATTGGTGTTAATCATCCTCTAGCCTTTCATCAGTGGTCAGTTTCTGACCACAGAACAGTGACAGTAACTAAATACCCAACACTGCACTGCACTCATACCAGCACCACACACTACCATGTCAGTGTCACTGCTGTGCTGGGAATGGTCCACCACCCAAATAAAATTGACCAATGATGAATGTTGGCTGACAGATTGCAGGCTGTCTGTAATTGTTCACCTACAAAGTGGACCTTTAAGATAGATGGAGCTCATAAAGTGATTGGAAGCTTAAAGTAATAAAGGAGTACAATGTAGGGGTTTCTGAAATAGTGGACAATGAGTGGAAGTATGAGATAGGTGTTTCTAAAAAAAGTGACCAGAGAGTGTATATATCAGTGGTTGGCAACCCAAAAGAAGAGCCATTTTGTCCTTTCAGCAAAAAATCAAACCACCTTGGCAGCCACAATATTTGATGTCCATTTTATCATCTTGGCTGTAAATATGTCTCGGTATGTGCTAATGTACTAGTATAGGCCAACAAAAATTAGCTCTGCTTTAAGCTTTAGCTCAGCTATAGCTGCTTTGCTCGCATCTCCGGCAAGAAACTTTTCCAAAAGTGGAATAGTTTCATGTAAAATTTCTTTCAACTTTCAATGTGCAGCAGGCACCATTTAAGGTGGAATGGGAAAATTTGAATGAGAAACTGGGGAAAGAGAAGCTGACTTGTAGCGCTTATAAATGCAAATAAGTCCATTCGTCTCCAAATTATCGATATACATCTTAAATCTTTCTGTTTGCTGTTTCTTTAGCTACTAGCTAGGCGAGACTGTTATCTGTGTTGCTGTGTGACCAGCAGTCTGTGCACCAAACATCAGGATTAAAGGGTAAATTAGCAGTTATACATTATCTTCAGCGTTTAAGATCATTTATTGTTAAAACTGTGTTGAACGATCAGCAGAGCTTTCTTTTACTGCAAAGGAGGATTATTTTATTTTTACCTACAGTTGAATTCTGCTGTGGAGCCACAACAGGGCAGTAAAAGCGGCACATGTGCGAGGTGATGGTACAAGTACACCTTGATGTCAACTATGAGTATATACTTGTTTCCAAAAAACATTGGGCCTCATTCATCAGCTGTTCTTAAGAAGAAATTTCTTCTTAAATCCAGCTCATGCAGTTTTTATGTAGATTCTGATTTGTTCTTAGGTAAGAACAGAATCTACACACTCAAGAGCACAAAGGTGTGAAGAATTCTGCGGTTTAAGAACACATCATGAATCTGACCTTTCTCAAGAACCAATTTAAGAAAACTAGATATTGGTAAATGAGGCCCATTGGGTTTATTCTACTACTACAGCTGGCAGCAAAAGTTGGGAAAATGTCTCTTTTCACAGAACATTATGCTGGAATCTGCAGTACATTAGTATTATTAGTATTATTACAGTAGTAGTATTGACGCAGGTGGTTTTCTGCCAGTGCTCCATTGACAAAAAAAGTGAAATACAGTTTACCCTCATTATTCTACCATGACAATGTAAACCAGGGATGCATGATAGTTTCAAGATCGTATCAGTATGGGCAGATAGTTCAAACTGATATTTTATAATGTGTTTAATGCACTCCAGAACAGTGGACAATTTGCTAACACTGGGCTACTGTGCTAAAGTATCTGGATTTTATTAATTTCATATTTCTATATCAGCATTGGCAATATCAGATATCTCCCCAAAATTCCCATATCAGTGCATCCCTAATGAAAGCACAGAATAAGGCAGGTGCATAAAGTCCAGAAACAGATTAGGAGTGCATGCAGGGATTAACAATTATGAAACGAAAAGTGAATTATAACACAAATTGAAAAGGGAAGTGATAACTGCCTATTAATTAAAATCTATAGAACGTCCAGGTGAGGTTTCTCATTACAACAGGAGATTCTGATCTGTGTGTTTTCCACAGACATCACTGCTAAGGAGTTCATGGAGCGGCGAGGGGGCTTAAGGAGCAGATACGAGCTTCTGGGGGACTTCCTGTCTGAGATGCTCTCCGTAGGCCCAGACGACATTAACATCTTCAGCCTCATGGAAGTACGGGACAGAATTGTGGATGTGCGCTTCTCCGTGCACAGTTCCCCCTTCTTGCGCGCCGAGAGGCTGCATGGGTACCTTGCCGCGCATAAACAGAAGGTAAGTCATCCAGAGGAAGGGGCTTGTAAGTCCCAGCCTTCATTATGTATGGATGTGGATGTGTAAGGCTGAGTATTGGCAAAGTCTCTGATGGTAGAACATTTCCTTATTCAGGATCCGCAATGCACAGTGCAATAAACAATGGGAGAATTAGCCTTAATATGTGGTTTGCATCGCAGGAGCTGATTACAGCTTGGTAATAGGCGTTCAGCGTAATTGTGAAAATAGTTCTTTTGTTCCCTGCTTTTCTTTCTTGCAAGTGCCAGAAATATTCAACTTTGAAATCTGCACCATACTTTTTTTAGGCTGTTCTCTTTGTACGCTTTGTTTGAGCGATAATTAATTGTCGTTGCCATCGGCAAGTTATAGGCTAGCTTTGTCTACCAATGCAGCTATAAATATACGATCTGTCAAACAGAAAAAAGAATAGAAATGGAAATGCAACAGTTAGAACGTCGGTATCAATTACCCAAGCTAGTGCCGCTGTCACCCTCGCCTGTTGATTACAGGTCTATAACATGAGTTACTTTACCTTCAGCCCACAGAAATAAGCTGAAAGACGTTTCCTTCAGCTTAATTACTCAGCTTAAAAAGCCTTTTGGGATCGTTCTGCCACCGGCTATCCTTTTGTTTGTGTGAAATGAGTGCCTACGTGCCTCTCCTATGCTAAAATAAACCTAGCTAAGCCTAGAGAAGCGGAGGAAAACTTCAGCTGCCATTTGCCAGCCCTTCATTTGAATGCGCTCGGGCCTCGGAGGAAAGACATTGATCAGAATGAGACATGAAGCGTGACGTGGCGAGTGAGCGATCGAGAGCGAAGTGACGGTGAGAGAGCAAGGAAGAAGGAGCGCGGAGATGTGGAGGAGGAGGAGGAGAGCCGACGAAGGCTGGGGATATTAATGTTTGGAATTCTAATGCCGGGAAATACCAGACAGAAGGCACACTCGCTTCTCTTATTCTCTCTCGTCCGCTCTCTCTCGCTCTCTTGCCTCCGCTCGTTCTTCCTTTCATTACTCAGGGCTGAAAGTTTGGGCAAGAGAAAGTGAATGTTTACCTAGATGGACTCATTAATATGGAGAGCGTGCTTCGCTCCACCTGTTGTAATTGGAACAGCCGTGAAAAGATGAAACTGTTTTTGTTGTTGTTGTTTTCAGAGAATGAAAAGTTGACTATCAGGTAGTAGATATGAGTAAACAGAGAGTCTTGGACGTAGCAGGTTTGTACACTCCCATTCAAAATTTGGAAGTGTCTTATCTTGTTGGGTGGCAGTTGTTAAGCTGAGTGAGACCACTTCATTAATCAATTGCAGGGGTCAGCAACCCAAATGTTAAGAGCCATTTTGTCCTTTCAACAAAAATCAAACCAACCTGGGATCCACAGCCAAGTCCATTTTACCATCTTGGCTGTAAATATGTCTCAGTATGTGCTGATGTACTAGTATTGACAAAAATATATAAATGAAAGCGCAGACTTACTTTGCTCTGCTTTAAGTTTTAGCTCAGTTATAGCTGCTTTTCTCGCGTCTCCGGCAGGAAACTTTTCCATAGAAGTGGAATAGTTTCTTGTAAAATGTCTCTCAATTTTTAACGAGCTTAAGTCATATTCTCATGCGCCAGCTTGCCTAAGGTGCCAGAGTGTAACTGTGGCACCATTTAAGGTGGAACAGGAAAATGTGAATGAGAAGCTGCCTACAGTTTTGTTGCTTTTTAGTATTTGACAGTTTTTCATTGTAGATGTTTCAATTTGAGCTATCTGGGGTAATTTAAGGAAATGACACAGATACTTTATCCCATACAAATCAGGCGACCAAATGCCTTACAGTCATATTACAGCACCTCCTCAGATAAAACTAATCCAGCTTGAATAGGGCTTTAAATAATATTGTCTAAAATAAACGTCACACTAGACTGAACTTTTTGGAATCACTTGTAGTTTTTGGTGTAGCTTGGTGGGTGACACCGCTGCCCTCCATACAGCAGACCAGTTTCTTTTCCCCTCCCAGGGAAACACACTATACTGCACCAATAAGACTGCTTGAGCAAGACTCCTGATGTTACATTCACCTCCCTCTGTAACATGATCAAACTGTTAGTTGCTCTGGATAAGAGCATCTGCTAAATGTGAATGTAGTAATGACATTAATAGGTGTTTTATTCAATTATAACCTATAAATTCCGTATTGAAACATTACCAACTAAACAAACAGCAAAAAGTTATTAAATGATGAATAAAAATAACCAAATAATGTAGAGTACTGTTCAAAATATGGGAATGTGTAAACTGACATATTCTAACTAGACATAAAAAAAACCTTTAGATTTAGTGTTTTTATATGTTTTCTAAATGTATATTTAACTTTGTACACTACTGTTCAAAATCTGGAATAAGTTGGCATATTAATAATTGTTTTATGCTATTCAGAAAACTTTTACATAATGCATAGACTGAAATATTATAAACTAAATATCAGCAGGCAGACTAAAAGTTTTAAATGATAAAGAAAATACAAAATGTAATATGCATTTATATATTTAGCAAAAATATAAATATAAATGCAACGCTTTTTTTGCTCCCAAATTGCAACAGTTTGAAATAAGTGAGTGAATAAATAAATTCATTTTAAAATAAAATTAAAAATTTAAATTTTTAAAAGTAAAAATGTGTTGCACTGCTACAAGTAAATGGTGGTCTCAGATACTAATGTGGGAATTCTGTTTTACGACCCTGCTTTTAGGTTTCAGTAACATCTTTTCAGTAAAAGGTGCTGTGTTTATATTCTTGTCCAGTGTAGTAAATTCCAGTCAATCTATCTATTTATGATAAATGATCTATCAACCCATCTGCCTTGATATTTGATCACTTTAAGTACGAAGCATTCTGGATGCTAAGGATTATTATAATTCTATTATCAATGTTGTACAGCTTTCTGTATTACTATGAAGTGTGGTCTACAGCTCATCAGTTTATCTGAACTTCTGAAACTTCCTGCAAAGTATGTGAACCCTGTAAGACTAGCTTGCTTGCTTGCGTTAAAAGAAAAGGTGAGATGTGGATGGGAGGGAAGAGACTGAGCATGTGGAAATCTGCATGCACACATTAAAGCCTCTCAGAATCTCGTGTAATTGCGCGGCTCTATTTTTGGCGGTTGTGACGGCTGTTTGTGGGTTGGGTGAAGTAGGGCATGATATAAGCTCAGAGCGGATGATGAGAGGAAGACAGAGACAGAGAGGGCCCTTGTGTCGCTAACTTTTAAATGATGCTTAATCCTCTTCCGTGATTTCTTCTCCCCCCATATCTTTCTCAGCTTTCACTGCTAAACCCTCCTGGCCCCAACACCCCCCCAAACCTGCGCTTGGGCTTTAAACATCCTAGGATTCCCCTGTGGCCCTGCTGGGGTAAGGGAAGAGAATCGAGGCGTACGTTGCTCTTCTCCCAGGGGTTTGTTCTTTCCATCCTGCCCCCTTAACCCCCCACCTCAACACACTCATACACACCTTTGTGAAGTGTCAGAGATGGTGTAAACGCTTGCTGACAGGTGGAAAGGAGAAGAGGAAAGCCCCTCCCACCCCTGTGGTGCTGGAGAGCTATGATGAAGGAGACTGAGAGCAAATGTGTGAAAAACATGGAGAACGTTGCTCATTTGCAGGGAAGCTTGTTATTTAGCTGTATGTTAGAGGTGACATTTGAATGCAGATGTGGTGCAACAAGAGATGTTCTTATACATGTTCTGGTACACTAGGACTAAAAAGTTTGGAAAAGTGTGTCATATTAACAATTGTCATTTTATAAAGTTATTATTCAGTAACGAATTAAATTTGTAGATTAGGTACATGACTAAATTCACAGTTTTCTGGCAATGATTTAGGCTAAAAAAGTTCTGCTGCCCTAAAGAGCCTTACATGGATGGCGCTTGTTGAGATATGCTACAGTGAAAAATCGTCCCGGAGGAAACTTTTGTTGCTAAAATTAATTTAAAATAAATTTTTTATGGCTCCGGAGACTTAATGATGATTCTGCTAAAAATACATTAAATATAAATATTAAATATTAAAATATTATTAAATAAAAAGGAGACATGAGATACAGCTGGTAAAAAGAAAAATAATACAAACTTTTTGCAAATCATTTTTGACCTGTATTCCATTCAAAACAGTACAAAGACGTACTGTTCTAAAAATTTGGGATGGCACATGTGGGAAGTGAGGACACCAATTTTTGTAGTTATGAAAATGGAAGTTTTCCCATTCTTGATATCGCTGCTGTCAGAACAAAACCTCATATCTCCAAAATGGTAACTTTACAGGTGAAGGAAAAAACACACTTTACTTTTAATGTAAGTCAATGGAACCAGAGTAATTTTGGGCCGTTTCTTTAGGTCCAGTCATCATGAAATTTACAAACAATGTAGAGGACAACAGGCATTTTCAGATTATGTCAAAAACTGAAAAATGGACAAAAATGGACATACGAGGTTTTGTTCTGACAACAGCAATATAACACTTCAGCTGCTCAACAGTCCAGGGTCTCCATTGTTGTATATTGTACTTCATAATTGCACCACATGTTTTCAAAGGGAGACAAGTCTGGACTGCAGGCAGGCCAGTCTAGCACCTGCACTCTCTTACTGCAAAGCCATGCTATTGTAACACGTGCAGAATTTGTTTGTCCCTAAAAAAGACATTGTTTATTAGACAGCATATGCTCCTCCAAAATGCTTATGTACCCCTCAGCATTAATGGTGCTTTCACAGAAGTGCAAGTTACCCACTAACACACCCCAATTCCATGACAGATGCTGGCTTTTGCACTTTTTTTTTGCGGAGAACTTGACATCCATTATTTCCAGAAACAATTTGAAAGGTGGATTCATCAGACCACAGAAGGTTTCCACTTTGTGTCAGTTTATCTCAGATGATCTTTAGCCCAGAGAAGTCAGCATCATCTCTGCACTTTGTTAATGTGTGACTTCCACTTTGTAGTCTTAAGCGTTTATACATGCAG